TGGAGTATGTCTTACATGCCTTTTGTCAGATTTATCTTTTATTTATCAGATTTCTCATATTTAATTTCAAGGTTCAGTTTGTTGCACTATATATACTTTATAGAAATACAATTGATTCTTTTAAAAATATGATCTTGTATCTTTGCAACATTGCTAATTCAGATTTTTCTGATAACTTTTTAAAATAAGTATCTTTGGATTTTTTTATATGCATGATCATGTTATCTGCAAATAAAGACAGTTTTACTTCTTTCTTACCAATTCTCATGCTTTTGTTTCTTTTTCTTGCCTTTTTGCACTGGCAAGAACCTGCAGCACAATTTTGAATAGAAGTGGTAAGAATGGACATCCTTTTCTTGTTCCCAATCTCAAGGGGGAAATCAGTAAGAATAATATTAGTTGTAGGTTTTTCTAGATGACTTTTATAAGATTGAGGAAAGTCCTTTCTGTTGCTAGTTTGTTGACGTTTTTGTCAGGAATAGGTATTGGATTTTGTTAAAATTTTTCTCCCCCATCTGTTGAAATGATAATATGGTTTTCTTCTACTTCGTAGTGATACCACCTCGGAAACCCAAGGAGGGGTTACTATGAGTCGAATCCGACTCCATGGCAGTGAGTTTGGTTTTGGTTTTTTTCAATGTAATATGGTAAATTACATTGACTGGTTTTTTAATGTTAAGCCAATCTTGGATTCGTGGGATAAACCCCACTTGGTCATGATGTCTTATCTTTCAGTTGTTAGGCTAAAATTTCTTCATTCCTCAATAAGGTAGAGTGACATAGTGGCTGCTACAGTGAGCTTAAACATAGCAACCATTTTGAGGATGGTGCAGGACTGGGCAGCGTTTTGTTCTGTTGTGCTTAGGGTCACTTATATGTTCATAAAGGATATTGGTGCTTTTTTTTTTTTTTAATATATAAAGTTTTGTCTGGTTTTGGTGTCAGGGTAATGGTGGTCTCAGAATGAGTTGAGAAGTTTTCTGTTCTTTCTGGCTGAATTTATGTCAGATTGGAATTTTGACATAAATTGGTATTTTTACCTGAAATGTTTCATAGAATTCACCAGTGAAGGCATTTGGGCCTACAGTTTTCTTAATTTCTGTAATAGATACAGGGTTACTCAGGTTATCTATTTCTGAATGAGCCTGGGTAGTTTGTCTTTCAAGGAATTGGACCATTTTACCTACATTGTCAAATTTATTGCATAAAATTGTTCATACTTTTCTCTTACTATTTTAACATCTGGAAAGTCTAGTAATTTCACTTCTCTCCTAGTACTGGTAATTTGTGTCTTCTTTTTTTCACTGTGTGGCTAGAGGTGTATCATTTTTATTGATGTTCTGAATTGTTTTTCTGTTTCATTAATTTCTGCTCTGATGGTTATTATTTTCTTTTTTGCCTTTGAATTTACTTTGCTGTGTTCAAGTTTCTTAATGGGAGCTGAAGTCATTGATTAGAGACATTTCTGCTTTTCTTATATAAGTGTTAGTGCTATAAATTTCCACCAAGTACTGCTTTGATGGCATCTTAAAAATTTGCATATGTTGTGTTTTCATTTTGTTTGGAATTCAAGGTATTTTCAGATTTCTCTTTTGATTTCTTCTTTGATCCATAGGTTATTTCAGTATTTGTTACTTGTTGTTGTTGTTGTTGTTACGTGCTGTCGAGTCAGCCCTGACTCACACCCTCCTTGGGTTTCTGAGGCAGTATCACTACAGAAGTAGGATTGCCCAATGTAGTTTTACAAGTATTCAGTGATCTTCCCAAGATCTTTCTGTATGATTTAGATCCCTGTAGATTTATTGAAACTTGTTTTATAGCCTAAATGGTCAGCCTTGGTAAATGTCCCAGGTACACGTAAGAAAAATATGTACGGTGCTGTTACTGGATAGAAGATTTTGTAAATGTCAGTTATATTCAGTTGTTTCAAAATGTTCTCCACTTTTTTCATGTCCTTGCTAATTTTCTGTCAGTTACTGAGAGGACTATTGAAGTCTCCAACTAAATAATTGTGAGTTTTTCTTTCTCCTTCAGTACTGTAATTTTCTACTTCCTGTATGTTGAAATCTGTTATCTAGTACATACACATAAAGTAAGGGGGATAGAGAATGATTGCCCTTGATAGGTGGGGCAGGGCAGGTGCTACTTTAGGAGGAGTTTTCATAGAAGGCCTCTCTGACAAGGAGACATGCTGAAAGTATGGCGTGAAGAACTTTCTGGCAGAAGGAACAATGAGTGCCAAGATCTTGGATGGGAATATGCTTGTGAATTCTGAGAAGAGGGTGGCTATAGAACAGAATGAGTGATTTTGAAAAGGCCATGTTAACCAGATTGACCTATCTGTCAGTTTGTTCTGCTGTGGTGGTTTGCATGGTGTTATTATGCTAGAAGCTATGCCACTGATAATTCAAATGCCAGCAGAGTCACCCACAGTGGGCTGGTTTTAGAGGAGCTTCTAGACTAAGGCAAACTAGTAAGAAAGGGCTGGCAGTCTACGTACAAAAGTTAGCTGATGAAAACTATGGATCACAAGAGAAAGTTACTCAATAAAGTGCTGGAAAATGAGCCCATAGGTTGGAAAGCACTCAAAATACACAGTAGCTGCAACAGTGTGTGGAACATACCAATGATCATGAAAATGGCACAGGGCTGGGCACTGTTTTGTTATATTGTACATGGGGTGGTTGTGAGTTGGAACTAATGTGATGGCAGCCGGCAACAACAGCCAGCTAGAACGTTGTTAAAATCTAAAATACTGCATTGAAGATTGTTGCTGCCCTTTAACAACATTGTGGTTTTAACTGAACAGAGTAGAGGCTTAATATTTCAGAACTAAGAAGAGGGGCCGGCAGGGAAGAAAGGTTCTTCTCTCTTTATATCCTCATGCAACTACAGCTGATGAAGTTGTTCTTTTCTGAGATCAGTGAGTGAGCTGTGTGGAATGATGCCTCATCTCCTTTGGTCCAAGTAGATGGATGTTAAATTATTTCACCCAAGATTCAGGGAATTTCCTTTTTGTTACTTGTTAGTTCTTAGATGTGCCTGCAGGCTAATCTTAGACAAATCCCATGCCTTTTCGGTCTTTTTCCTTATTTATGATGTGTGACTGGTGGCTTTCTCTTAGGTATGTTAGATATCTTAGGCTGGATTCTCTAGAGATGCAAAATCAGTGAAGCTTATACATACATAACCAAAATCAAACACACTGCCATGGACTCGATTCAGACTCATAGTGACCCCCATTGGGTTTCCAAGGCAATAAATCTTTATGGAAGTAGGTTGCCTCATCTTCTCTCTGTGGAGTGGTGGCTGGTGGGTTTGAAGCACCAACCTTCTGGTGGGTTTGAAGCACCAGCCTTCTGGTTAGCAGTCAAATGCCTTAGGCACTGTACTGTCAGAGCTCCATATATATATATATATTGATCAATCAATCTCTTTTTACGTGTGTGTGTGTGTGTATATATATATATATATACACGTAAAAAGAGATTGATCATATATATATATATACACGTAAAAAGAGATTGATTGATCAATTGCTCTGTCTCAAGGAAATGGCTCACCTGGTTGTAAAACCAATGCTGGCAAATCCCTATTGCATGAGTCAGATGTCAGGCTGCTGGCTGCAGAGGCTGATGAATCCAAGATCGTCAGATAAGTGGTAGGCTGTTGGTTCATAGGCTGTAAAGGCAAAAATACCAAGATTAGCAGACAGTATGGCAGGCCACTGTTTGAAGAAGTCCAAAGAACCGGATGTCAGATGATGATGATGCAGATGCAGGATACAGATAGAGCAAAAAGCCCGAAAGCTTTAACATCCATATATATTAGAAGCAGGCTGTGCTCCTGAGGAAGCTCCCTTTCAACTGATTGGTTACTCATTGCAGTCTCATCATGGAGATGATTACATTATATCAGATCTCATCATAGGGGATAACTTGCATCATAACTACCAAACCATTGAAAATCATGGCTCAGCCAGGTTGACACATAGCCTTAACCCTCGTAGGTCATTTGTAAATTCCTTTGGAAAATTAGAAGAGTACTGTTCTGGTTACCTAGTGCCACTCTAACAGAATATATACCACAAATAGGATGGCCTTAACAAACAGGAGTTTATTCTTACAATTTGGAGGCTTTAAGACCAAGTTCAAAATGCCAGGCTCTAGTGGTTGGGTGGAAGTCCCTCAACCTTGGGGTCCAACTCTGCCTCCTGCTCTCGGCCCACTGGAGCTAGAGGCTGGCTGCTGAGGCTGAGAAGCTCCAAAGTTGACAAGAAAAAAGGCACAGTCCCAATGTTACGAAACCACATGGCAGGCCATTAACTTAAGTCCATTGTGATTGCCAAGGTCGGCAGAACATAGCAGCCTGCTGGGCAATGACATAGCTACATGCAGGGTCCAAGTGTGCCATAGGCTAGAGACCATTCCCAAGGCTTCTTCTTATATACAGGAAGCAGACCACATCCCAAAGGCTGCTTGTGGTAGATCCCACCATGGAGTTGATTACCAGTCTCATCATGGGGAATAAATACCCCAAATAAATACCACCAGCTGCCCAGCCACTCAACCAGGCCCAGCCAGGTTGACACACAACATAATCAACCACCACAAGTACATAATACTCAGATGTTTTCACCAAAACAGAATTCAGCTTTGTTCAATTTTGTATGCATTGTACCTATACCTTCACCGTGCTTTCTAGTATTCCCTCTGTATATAATGTCACAATGCTGTGCTGCTACAGAATGTGTGTGGACTTAGATTTTTCACAAGAGTGTAATGGGAAGGGCCATAGGAAAAAGGAGATGGAATATACTACTGCTGATATTTAGGCTGACCAACTAGTTGTTTCCATATTGGTAAATGTGTGTGTTCATGTGTAGTTGATGTCTTTGTCTAGGAAAGAATAGAATGAACAATTGACCAAAATAGTGGAATTGTTATGTTCCAGAGTATAAGAATTCACTTTTCTTTTTTTCCTTTTTTCTTTTATCGCAGGTATTTCTTGGTGGATTTTTATGCACCAACAACAACTGTTGAGAGCATAATGGAACACCTGTCTCGAGACATTGATGTCATTAGACCAAATGTTGTGAAGCACCCACTAACGCAGGAAGTAAAGGAATGTGAAGGGATTGTCCCAGTCCCACTGGAAGAAAAATTATATTTCATAAAGAAGAAGAAGTGAGAAGATTCGCCCAATTTTAACTTTATTTTTAATTCTCTCACTTTTGAGCACCAGTCATTAATAGTCTACAAGCTTGACCTTTATATAGAAGTATGTTGCAGGTATCATTTGATTTTCTAAGGTATTTTTGGTTCTTGATCCCCTTTGCATGAGAAGTGAGTGAACAACTCTCTTAAAGCCACTCTGCACATCATTCTTTATTTTTTTTCATTAATTTCTTCGTCAGTGACAATTTTTTGCCTTATAATACCACCACTAGTTTGTAAAGCAAAACTTACAAAACTGCCGTGGGTTGCAAGGTAGTTATTCAGACTATACATATGCAAAAATAAAAATTTAAAGCTAGTGTATTATATGATTGACTTTTGATAAAGGTAATAAACATGGTTTTTTAAAAAAGCCTGGCATTTTGTCACATCACCTGCCCAGCCCAGTGCACTGCTCAGGGCCTCAGCTCATCTTGCTCAGCTAGCAGGTGGGGGTGTGGGAGGGGATGCCTGCTTGACTACCAAAGTTCAGAGTCTGAGGCACAGGTGGGGGATGGGCTTGGGAGTCTCTGTTCCTGACCACTGGGTATTTTTTTTTTTAAATGAGACTTTTTCTTTTCTGTTACAACTTACTTGTCATTGTGGTGGCTGCTATTCTTTGTACCCAGTTTGTAGGGGACATGTGTCTTCTGTGGCAGTTGGACCTCAGTACTGCTCTGTCATTCCTTTGCCATTAGCACCTACTTCCTCCACTATCTCTCAGCTCTCAGCAGGCCTCTACCACTTTTGAATTATGCTTCTCCTCCCACCTTTCTCATTCTGAGTCAGAAGCCAGTTGCTTTTGAGCTGGGGATGCCCAAGGAGCTAGCTAGCCCCAGTGCCTCTAACCAATGGCTTATTTATTGACCTCTTAACTTAGGGTTACTTGTAAGAAGACACTCTCTCTCTCTCTTTTTTTGGTTGTGATTTTCTTAAAACATGTCGTACAAATTTTAAAGTTTTATTTGGAAGGTTTTATTGTTTTGAGCAGAAGGAAGGATTGAATTTAGGGGGTGGTTATATTTTTCAGAAGGAGTTCTGGTGGCATACTGCCTAAGGCATTTATTTCACTGCTAACCCAGAAGATTGGTGGTTCAGACCCACCAGCCATTCCATGGAAGGAAGACTGGGTAGTCTACTTCTATAAAGATTTACCACCTCAGAAACCCAGTATGGGGGGGTCACAGTGAGTCGGAATCAACTCGATGGCAGTGGGTTTGGTTTTTTTGGTTTTATACTTTTCAGCTTTTCAGACTGTCCAAGAACCAATTAGTCTTTTTTTTTTTTTTTAGGTTTCCAAGGCTGTAAATCTTTGATTGATTGATTGATTGATTGAGATTTGGGTGAAAATTTACAGAGCAAATTCACTTTCCATACAACAGTTCACATACACTTTGTCTTGTGACACTGACCACAATTTACCACAATGCAACAG